GACAGAGCCTTGGGGACCCCACTGGTCACAGGGCACCATGATGACTGACTTCTGTCAATTACCACTCCCTGGGTTGGACTTCGGAGCCAATTTTCCAGCCAGCAGATCATAGTGGACCCAAGGCCATAATTGGCCAGTTTCACCAAGAGGTGATCATGGGGTTTTTGTTGTTCTCCCGCCCTGGCGGGGGGTCGGGCTAGAAGATCTACTAGGTCCCTTCCGACCCTTAATCTATGAATCTATGAATCTATGAATCATGGGATACCAGATTGAAGGCTTTTTTGAAGTCAAGATATATGACATCAATCTCTTCTCCCTTGTCTAGGTGATAGGTCACCTGGTCATAATAGGAAATGAGATAGGTCAAGCAAGACCTACCTGCACCAAACCCATGCTGGCTATCCCTCAGGATGTTGGCGTTGGCCAGTCCATTAAGGATGGCCTCTTTAATAAAAGACATGAAAATCTGAATTTTGTGTATATTGAAAGGTAGAGAATTTTGCCACTGTATGTTAAATTCCTACAGCTTTTAAGCTTCTATCAAAATCCAGTGGAGTTCTGGTTATGCAAAAGACTGTGGAAGTGAGGTGGATGTATACTGTTACTGCTGCACATGCCAATTGAGTATGCACTTCTCTATCCTAAGATGAGGCATCTGATATTTTAACAATACTGGACTGCTGTTCGCGGCACAGATTTATAAAAGGGAAGAATCTGGGGAGTCCCATGCTGTTCAAAATATTGAGGCCACTTGTATTGGGGTTTTTTTGTTTGTTTTGTTTTGTTTTTAACTTCTGTGTCTTAGTTTGTCATGATTCTTCCCAGCCTACAATTTCAAGTCCTGTCAAACTGAAAAATGCCAAGACTTTGATGAGAGCTGTAAACAGTATTTTTCTTTTCTCCCTTCTGCTCCTCCTTCAAGCTCTGGTGCTCTATCTAGAAGCAGCCTTTAAAAACTGTTGTATGGTATGTTGTTTTTAAAGCCTTAAAAACACACACTGCCCGCAATAGGCAGGCTCCCTGCAGTTTCAGTCAGTCTTTTCCTGTTCATGCCTACTGAGAGCCACTTATTTCAGGTATGCTACCTTGCACAGAAGAGGAAGCAGCAGAAGAAAAGTTCCAGTTGATTATTTTTTAATCAAATTATTAGAATACAGAAAAAGTTCTGTTTTGGGAAACTTCACTCTATTGGACACTGTTTCTATCCCACCTGGATAGCTACAGGACCTACTGACAAAGTACCTTTCACTGAGATAATGTGAAGTCTTTCTAATGTGGTGATCAGGAGCTTAGATGTGGGGAGGCAACCTTTTTTGGCTGCAGGCTGCATGGAATAACCCAACCTAGGTCACAGGGAGATAGACGGGAGCTAGGACCCTGCAGCCATTGCCACAGCCAAAGCTTCCTACCACTGAATGCTGCTGATGCCAGACATTTGCAGGCTGGATCCAAAGGTTCTGTGGGCCACAGGTTACTGACCTCTGGCTTAGATAAACCCTTCCATTAGCAAATGCAAGAAACTGGGGAGAGTCCTGCAATATGACACTTTTAAAACTTCTCTCTTAAGGTGCAAACAGACATAATGCTTGAACTATCCCAAGCATGTCACTGGTTGGAAATTGGTTCACTATTGTCATGGGTCAGAACTGTCTGCACATACACTGCTAGGTAGAATGGTCACCTTTTCTGCATTTCAGTACTGTTGACCCACCATCGGGATGGTAGTGAGTACCCAACCCAGTTGCAGTTTTCTGCTTTTCCTTATCATTAACATTGACTCCAGTAAAAAAACAGTCCTTCCCTGTACTGAAGGCTGTGTGGTGTACCTGACTGGAAGTGCTTAGGTGAGTGTGTATAGGGCAGGGGGCTGCAGGGCCCCTGCTTCTGTGTTCCCAAGGGGCTAGATGCTTCAGAGTTGTTGCAGCTTTTTAAGAGCACTCTTCCCCAAGC